AAGTGTTGTTCCCTCTACCTTCTTGTTTTATAGCAGAAGGTGAAATTTACTTTGTTGACATAGCCAACCAGTTGATTAAGCTTTCACACATCCATCAAATGACTTCTCCCGCCCAGAGTAAGGCTAGAGAAAGTGTCAGACTACTACCGACTAAAAACACCCAGTTCCTTCTCCTGCTCTGAGGTGAGGCCGCGGTGACTAATTGCGCTTAGCCCGCAACCCCGGCTGAACATCAGGCCTATAGGGCCCCGTCTGTGGTGAACCAAAGGTAGTCTTGCATCTCAGGTTTCATTTCAATATTCTAAATATTTATTAATTGCCTAATAATCGAGACTTTGACCAAACTTAGCATTAGAGACGTAGCTCGATTGCTGATTAGAAAAAAAAAATAGAAAATTTTCACTCGCTTCTTGTAATAACTTGGACCGTACTCTCATTGTAGTGGCTCGAGTAACTCGCTTCGAGTGCCCATTTGTCCGTCACTGACCGTTTCGAGTGTCTACGGAGTGTTGTCTCGTATATTTGTTTTGTTTAGTCAACTCCTGGGCCCGTGTAAAATTTCTACCACGTTTCAACACATAATTGTTACTGTTACGGTAAATTGCTCACCGTATTTGATACTTTTCTGTGGTAATTAGTGTTATTTAATGAATAACTTGTTAAATTATACTTCTAGGAAATTGGGCGTAGTCTATTATGCCCTTATGTCTAATGAAACCAAATTCTTGCCTAATTATTCAGTGTGGTTGCCAAGCTGGATCAAGGAGTTGATTATATACATCGCGTTACATTAAATTCTCAAATGACTGAGGTTGAAAGAGAAGTGAAGATGAGGTTCAAAATTTTAGGATCTATCTTTATTTCATCTAGGGTTGCAGTGCAAGAGCAAAAGTAGGAGAAGAAAGGTGGAGTTTTCAGTAGAGTCCGATATTCCTTCTCGCCTTACCCTGAACGAGAGAAGTTATAATGATTTTCCCTTCACAAAAAATATTGTTTGAAATATTAAACAAAGTACCATTCTTTTACAGAAAAGGCTACTGAAAACGTTTTAAAATAATTGCATTAACTTACAAAAAGCCAGGCTTATAAAAACAAACAAACTTTGACATGTACACAGGCAATCTATCACCATACATTGTCCCAATGTGATACAATTCTCGTGAAATGTTTTACAACAGTTTCTAAACTCATAACTCTTGTTGACGCGAAAAAAAAACTTGTTTAGATATCTGAAACCGATAAGTTGTTGCTGTATGTCACGAATTTATGTTATAGTAATGAATCAGGATACTTTTTCATGTTGTTCATATTTAGAGTTTCAAAAAAATAACCTTGATTCTGTGTTAGATAACACCATTTTTTAGGATAAGGTTAGGCCCTGTTCGTTTTTTGAATTTATTATTCTTTTGTAGTACTTCGATGTTTTGGATTTTTATTTGTTTTTTACCGTTCGTAATTAATCTACGTATTCCATGAACTACTTCGGCACCACACCACGCATTTCAACACTGACAACTGAAATTACAATGCCATTATGGAATTTTTTGAGGATTGAAGGTTTTATGAATTAAGGATGGGCAATAAAGGATTAGTTGACCAAACGCTTGATTCTAAGGTAATCTTTTGTGTACCAATTAACCCTTACTAAATATATCAACAGCCTTGATAGTAAACACCTTTGTCGTCTAAAGGTTTGTGATTATAAAAGTGAGAACTATAGTAAAAGACGCATGAAAAAAACAACTAATAATGCAAGGGTAAAACTTCATTCTCGTTTGGGTCCCAAGAGGGTATGTGACGTGGCCCACACTATCGCCATAAGGAAACTCGACCTGTGCAAAATTTATGCACTTTCGCAAATTAATTAACATTGTACCTTTATGCGTTTACTTGTGTATATACTTGCGTGTTATGTAGTGGTTCGCAGAATCTATAATTTCACAAAATTGAAAATATGACTAAGGAACTACTTGACTTTTGTCGGCACGGCGGCAAAGCGGCCTGCCGCACGAGTCGCTGGCTCGATTCCCGCTCGGAACAATCTTTGTGTGATCCGCAAATTGTTGTTTCGGGATTGGATGTGATGTGCAAGTGCAATTGTATGTTTGTAAACGCACTCATGACACAGGAAAAAATACCTTTTTTTTTAAATGACTTTGACTAAACTTTCTGTGTTTCTTAGATGAGATAAAGCGCGTCCACAGAATTTGTCCTCAATCGCGTCTGGTTTTGAACTTCACATTTCACCTCGCTCTACGTCATATCCATGATTGCCATTGCTGCCTAGTTTAGTGAATATGACCACAAAAATTCAAGTTCAAACCATGCTTGGATGTTTGTATTTGTGGTCCTTTTTGGAACATGTAGCCTGTAGCCACTTGCAACAATTTCTAGCCGCTTTCATTAGATTTATTACTGGGAATATGGGAATTATGCAGATTGATCAGCAATTACCACTTAAAATGCTTTTAGATTAGGTCGACTTTTGGTATCATATGGTCTCTTCAATTTTTAGTTACCCTTTATAACATCGCACTAAGGATTTTCTCAGAGAGGTTTTCCGTAAATACACTTCTACCTACACTCTCGGGTTCTGACGTGATGTTATGTATCTTCACAGAAGGATATATGCACATACTTACTCCTACCTTCGACCCTTACGTTATATTATATATATAGGTATGTAGGAAGTTATAAAGGGCAAAGGTAAGGTGTCACGGTTAAGATGTGTCCCTTGAAGAGCACTTGTGCCTATTGTTATAAAATTGTTATGTATTTGCGGCGTATAATGGTGTCTAGGGATGCGTTTAGAGAGATATAAGAAACAACTTTAACCTTTGATTAAAGTTCTATTTTTATAACAATGTTTAAATATTATTTATTATATAAGTATATGGCATTATCTAAGAGATTTTATACTACACAAATCATGCGAATCCCCATTTATAAAAAAAACTTATTCCAGACAAAGGATTTGCTCCAGTGTCGCGTGTACGTTTAAAAAAATAATCATACAAATACACATACACATCACACCCAGATAAGGAAAAACTATTTGTGAAACATACAAAGTGTTTTTCACCTGGGAATTGGGTCACTGTGCAATACCTAAAGATGAATTGACTAGTTTTTGATAACATTAAGATAATTACTTATGTGCTGCTACTTGAATAAATTACTTAATTTTATACATTTTAATACCTACCTATATCTTAATATACTAATTTAACTCTATAAGAAGATGATTTCAAAAAAGTATTTTTGTTAGGTTTATGAAAAAAACAAATTAATAACATACTGTACAAATATCTACTGCGGCAAAATATTTTAGAATAAAAAACAATGAATGCGTATTGTAAAATTAATTATTTTTAAATAAGGGCTAAAATATCACTTTTACACGTCAGCAAAACGTTACTTTATAATAAATTGTAATTGTAGTAATAAATCTTTATTTATACTGAGTAGGGCCACAACAAAAATAAAATATCTTAATTAAACGATAACCCACAAAGGTAATTTGCCTGTACCGTAATTATAAATAAATAATTGGTACAAAAAAGTCACTGAACACACCACAACTCAGTACTTTTTCCTTCCAGTACACAACTGTTCAAATAAAACAACCTCGGTCGGTCATTGTTGACTTAACCGCGGTTACTTTAGTAAACACATAGTTTCGCTACATAAAAAGGTAAAAATAACGGTAAGATATATTTTTTTCTATTTTTCTTCCCTTTAAGTATTCTTTGTTGCGTTATTTTCTTTGTTTTTTGATAAAGAAGAACGTTTGTGCACATTTCCTCTTACAAACGATTAGTTGGTTACTTTGTGGGACTAAGCGCTCTACCTTTTGTTGTTAATGTTTTTGAAAGTAAAACTGAATTTCCTATGATCAGAAAATGAAAGGAATAGTAGAAAGAGAGCAAAACATTGTTTTTGACTGATCTTTGATGTTCAGGTTGTAGGCTTGATAAATGAGTTTTGTTTGATGAAATAAGTGACTAGGAAGCAAGAAAAGTCAATAAATATTTTATCTTTGGTAGGAAATTATGACAGCGTATTTATAACACTTTTTTTGTACAGAATCGTTTCAGTCTAACGATTACTGTATGATGTTATCATTATGCTTATTATAGAGGAGGTTAATGTGACCACAGTACAACACGGGCTGACAACACCCACTTATGTCCTTGAAACTACTTCATTGCCCGGTCATGGCAAGTCGCAGCGTTTGACAAACGGATAGGATATCAGAATAACCACTACTAGAATAATTATTAGTATACATATGTATACAGAAATTGATTAAGTGTGTGTCTAGTTATGATATAGGAGGGAATAGTTGCTATGGGCACAAATCTAGAATCCTATTTATGTTATAATCGCCAAAATTTATGTGATTATGAGATAATAGCTACTCTCGCACGGTTTCAACCGCTGCTCTACTCCATTTAATCGTAGCGTGATGTTTTATGGACTATAGCACTCAGCAACATTGTAGCTATCTATCTAGATTTTCGGCAATCTGATCAGCAGTTCCAAAGATTACCCTCTACATACAAATTTTACCACTTTATAATATTAGTATAGAAGTATAGATTTATAACTCTTTCACGTTTAAACTACTGAACGTTTCTGAATACAATTTGGTCCAGAAAAAGATTTTAGTCTTCAATTACAAAGGTTATTTTTTATCTTGTGAACCAATGCGAATCCCATAAGAAAATAATAAGAAAAATGAATTTAAACTTAATGAAAAACAAGTACTTTTTTATAATTCTTTTTTATAATTTTTATTATTCTGATATTTGTTGTAAGACGTGAATGAAAAATAAAATTAATATAGAGAAAACGTAGATCGAAGGTGGTCTACACATTGTAAAGAACCTTTACGTGATAATAGTTTTTATAACAAAGTTAGGCTTTAGTAATTAGCACGTTTTGCGATTCTACTATCTAATTATCTTACTTTAACTTTTATTTTATTATGTCCACAGGCGATGTGATGGAGGATGGCAATCAGCGGGAGCGCATAGAACAGACGGCCGGCGTCATGTAACTCTGTAATATGAATCTCAGTAACTTAGTCTTGTACATCACTAGCCTACTATGGCTGAACCTCACTGACGCTAAGATAGGTAAGTGATATATTATTTGTAATAAAAACTAATATTTTTTTAAGAGTTAATAGAAAATAAAATTTTAACGATGGCTGGACCATCCAATCCAATCACTACAATATACGCACGCTTCAAAACAACAGTTTATACAATACAAACTTTTTTAATTTTTACAAGAACTGTCAAATAAGCCGCCTTTGTTGCTACGCCGTAGCGAGCTACGGCTACGAACTACGCTGTCGTAGCCAAACCACAACACAACTTAAAAATAAAACATTTACGACTTTTTGCCCTCGTAAGTTTCAAAACTTAATATCGTATAATATTTTTTGTTAAGGTTTATATAAGGTTGAAATTGCTTTCAGCTTTTATGCAAGTAATGTATTTTTTAAATAATGAGTACCTATTGGTGAATAATGTCAACCCAGCTGAATTAAATACTGGTTAAAAAAACGAGAAATGTAGGTTACATACACAAATGTTGAAAGACATTTCAAATTGAAAAGTAAATTTGACTCGGCGGTACTGTCCTTTTTGGAGAAGGAATTTATTAAAGCCACATTTCTATTTAGTCTGAGTTTATTCGGATCATTTTCAACTGAAAGGGTCACGTCGGTCAATTTCAATTAACTTCATTCATAAAATTAATTGAAATTAATCTTCTTCGTTATTTTTATCTTATTAAATATCATTGGTTTTCGTTTTTATTAAAAGAATATGATTCGTCACTCCAATAATTGAAATTAATTAGTTGGTCCTAAATTTGATGGTGACGTATAAGCACGATTTCAAGGATAACTGAAAAAAAAAAATACTCAGTCCTTTTTATGGTAAAAACAGTGTATTCGTAAAATTAATTTCTTCCCTTTGGTCTCTCTTATGTCTATGTTTTAGATATAGCAGTTCAAACGTTTCTGGTCTATCTTATAAAATCTTACTAATCTTACAAAAAAAAAGACTGGCCGAGTAGTATAAAAAAAACTTGGTCGTTTTCTTGTCAATTATAATGCACGTTTCCAAAGAGTCCATCTTATTTTACATACTAATGACCCAGAGGTAGGGGTAGACGTATTCTGGAATAGAGAACGCGTGCTGGTAAGCGTCGTATAGATCTATCTCCAGTAAGGTAGAAGGACGATATCCTCATGGTAGCCATCGGTTGTAGAATGTTTATGCGATCGAGATCACTGGCGTGCAATTAGAAAGGCCTATGTCCAGCAATTGTTGGAAATATAGATACTGATAATGATGAGATGACTCTTTATACTCACCCACTGAAATAATTGCCGATATTATTTGTTTTCCGCTAACACAAAGAGAGAGAGATAAGACTTTACGACTTTGAAAAGTTACAAAATTAAAATTTATTCTGCCGTCACCATACTGTCAAACAAGACACCTGTAAGTAATATATACTATTCAAGGTCAAATCAATATTTCTTCAATATTAAGTTCAACAAAAGCAGAAATGTAATTGGAGTCTATTGAGTTATTAATAATATAATTTTAGACCTTGATCCATGAAAGTAAGAGTTTGTTTACCTCAACTTACTAATATGGAGAAGAGTGTCTTGAATACTTTATTACGCCAATCAAATATGATTATATACGAGTAGGTTATAGTAACCAGGCGATTAATTAAACACAAACAAAACTCTGAGCTACACTTTAATGATTTTCCACATAAATTGAAAACATTTTAAAATTGTGACGCCTGTTATTTACCACTACCTTCTCTCGCGCTACTCGGCTCTTACAAATTGTAGTGTAATGTTTTATAACCAAAAGCCTTCTTCGATAAATGAACTAACTTACAGACACAAAAATAACTCTTCCCGTCAAACCAGTAGTTCCGGAGATTAGCGCGTTCAAACAAACAAAGAAACTACAGCTTTATTACATATATAATAGTGTTAGTATAGATTAACACGGAAAAACCAAAAATATAATAATTTAAGTGACCCAGGCTTCAAAACATTTCGATTGACTAGGCAACCTTTATTTAATCAAAATCCTGTCTTTCTTGATACAGCTTCGTTTCGACTAAAATGTAGGTATCTCCTTCATATTAAAACTCTATCTATCAATCACTCCACATCTATCTAATCTGTCAGGCTTGTCAGTCTCCTATTCTCTCATGACAAGATATTTTCTGACAAATTTTCACTCTTCAAAAAATTTACCTATTAGCAAGAACAAAAAATATCAACAAAAAACCAATTCATTTTTCAAATTATTGAGTAAAGTAACATAGTTTTAACTAAAACACAAACAATATTTCGTTAAAATAACCGTGCAGCTAAAAATATAAAAGTTTTATTATGCTGGCAAAACTTTCCTAGAAAAACTAACCCATAATTTTGTTTCAGGGTACTTTTGGCACATCACAGATCTTCATTATGATCCGCTTCACAACTCCCCAGAGTTACATAGAGGTACTTTATGAAACATACAGTTGTTTTATGTTGATTATATTATTTCAGTCCGTTGACGTATACGCATGTTACACACTCACATAACATTATAGTGAATTATTTGAGTATGTTTGATGAATGTCAGCAGCCTTTTGTTTTATTTTCGGTTCATGTATAATTATTTTGAATAATTTATTCGTTGCTTTGACGAATGAAGGTAATCAAAAACGATATTAATCAATGTATCATCGTTATTATGGCACGTTAATTTATTTGATTGATTAAAAACCAAAACTTGTTATGCAATACAATAAGTTTTTTTCATATTATTTATTCAACATTGCTTTTTTTCATTAATGTCAGTCGAATTTTTCTATTTCCCCTTTATCTCTGCCAGGTTGTCGTCACAACCGCGGGAACAATGAACACAGCCATCGGAATGGCAGGCACCGGGATCACACGTGTGACAGCTCCTGGCCTTTGATACAAAGCGCCGCCGCCCTCATGGCAGAGCGGCATCCTGATACTTTAGAGTTCGTGCTGTGGACTGGGTAAACCTTTGATAATATGTACAACTTACAACTTTGATTCTGTATAGATGTAAGTGATTGCGGTTTCTAAATAATTATTATTATTACCCAATAAATACAAGTATATTATTTCGACATTAAGATACTCAAGTTTAAGGAATGACAAAGGATAATTGAATCAAACAAAAATTAATTTAATTAAATTATATGTCCCCTTCTGTAGTATGATAGTCGCATTCCTGATAATAAAGTCCTTTAGATACTTATACTGTTTATATTTTTATTCCACCAGAGACATCCTCTCCTCATCAATGGAACATTTAAGCGAAGAAATAAAACTGGAAGCGGTGAGAAACGTCACAGATGTATTAAGCAGAACATTTAGCAGTCAGTTTGTGTTCCCTGCGCTGGGTCATAACGATCCTGCTCCTTCTAAGAGGCTGGTCGACATGTGGATGCAGTGGTTACCTACTGAAGCGTTACAAACTTTTGAAACTAGTAAGAAACTTACTAATAAGATTTATATTTAGTCTAAGACTCATACATTATTACTAGTTTTTTATGTGATACGGTCGGCAAACGAGCATACGGATTACCTGATGGTAAGCAATCAGCGCTGCCCATGGACACCCCCAACAACAGAGGTGTAACAAGTGCGTTGCCAACCTTTTGGGGATTAGGCATTTGGGGTTTAGGGATTGGGGTTGGGGAAGGATTGGGTCTCAGGTAACCCCACTCACACAGCGAAACACAACGCCGTGGTTGTTTCACGCCGGTTTTCTGTGAGGCCGTGGTTACACTCAAATCGAGCCGACCCATTCGTGCCGAAGCATGGCTCTCCCACACATATATTAAATAAATACACTTTACTTCCAATAAAGAATTTGATTGATTAACCACGTTATCTCTCTTTGTCACTTAGGCCTATTTTTCAACGTCTTGACTCCCTAGTTTTATTTCAGGTGGATATTATACAATAGAGCAATCCAAGAGCAAATTGAGGATAGTAGTACTGAACAGCGTATTATGGGCGGGAGGGGCGGCCAGGACTGATGGTCCTCACAGGGGCAGACAGCAGTGGGAGTGGCTGGAACAGGTCCTCAGTAAAGCTAGGAGAAGAAATGAAATGGTGAGGTTTTGTTACAAATTAATAAATAATGTTCCGGTTTCTTTAATTCCACCTCTTTTTCATGTAAGAAAGTAGTCTTATTATGACTAGTATATGAATACATATTTCTCTATGAAAATTGAATAACATCTGATCGCAAATGTTTTCCGAATAAATTTTTCTTGCAAAATCTGAATCTCTAATATCTGATGCTATTATGTAATGGGGTATCACCAAGTCGTAATACCAATTTTCCACGTTTCTCTGGTGTATAAGTAAATAACTCCTAAGAACATTAATATAATAATATCACAAATAACCAAGTTACATAGAATAATCTAGAATTTGAATGTATTATGTTTTCTTTTTTATTAGAACTTTGTACTTTTTTCTTCTTAGGTCTACTTAGTAGCTCACGCGGGCCCAGGAGTGGAAGAACGGCATAATGCAGGCAGTTCTTCAGCTGCTGGTGGTGGGGAACTGACTCCTACAGCCAATGCGAGGCTGGTGCACGTCATCCGAGCGTTCAGCGATGTAATTGCTGGGCAGTTCTATGGACACCGTCATGCTGACACGTTCAGACTTATTTATAGTGAAGGTAGGAACAGTTATATGTTGAAATGGATGGTATAATCGGTCAATAATATAACTTTAACTGAACTGCTTCATATGATTTAGTTTCAGGGTTGATTCTCGTCAAGGAGTATACTAATTGTGGGTCTCTTTAAATTACTTACTTCTAGAAAATGATTTTGTCTTACGAAGTTCGAAATTGTATTTGGTATAAAGACCAAACTTCATAACATAGGACTCATAACACTGACTAATATGAATGAGTTTCATATTGGTTTGACTGCAAGGTTGGCGCGGTGGCTGGGCAACTGGCTGGCGCGCAACGTGTCGCGGGTTCGATTCCCGCACGGAACAACTCTTTGTGTGATCCACAGACAGTTGTTCCGGGTCTGGGTGTAATGTGCATGTGAAATTGTATGTTTTTAAACACACCCACGACACAGGAGAAAATCCTAATTGTGGGGCAATGTTTTAATAAAAAAAGAAATAAATAAAGATCATGGTACATTGTAGACGAAAATAAGTGTGACCATATTCCGACCCACGGCTTCAGGGAAAAAGAAATGTTACACAAATGATAACATAGCCTTCTATTGTGTAAAAAAATAATATTATTTATACATTTCCTATCTTCTAGACGCTTTTCATAACCTTTACTCAGAACGAGAAACTAGGGCATCAATTTTTGAGCTCTTTGTTATGAAGCGAACCGCGACCAAGCTTCCGTAGTTGTAAGATTATACGTCTCTCGAACGAAACATTAGGTCGTAGTAATCGATAGCTGCTGGAAAATTTTATACACGTGAAGAATAGCCACTGTTCTTACAGTGGCTTCGAAAAATAGTATTTGAGTATGAAATATTTATGTTTATGAACCTTTCTTCTTCTTTTGAAAAATTATTCCTTAGTCAATCTATAAAACCATGAAGATCGTTGAGATTAAACTAACTAAACTAGATATTCTTACTGACATAAATTATTATTTTTACTTGCTTATCAATTATTCAGTTACCCGATCTTCTATTTTTATGTTATCCAATCAATAAGCAGTAGTACGATTTCCAATACTTCCACTCTCGAATGAAAATAAAGTTAAGAAATTCGTAATGTTTTAAAATAAGATGATCCATGAATAGCTAGTGTCAGTAGAATGCTAAACTATGGACATTTTGGAAAGAATCTTAATAGATTCAAATTCGTTGAACAGTCTTCCTACCCAATTTTTGAAAATGTGCAGTCTCTTAACTAAACTCTTTGATACCTATAAAGAAGTAGAAATAGGCCTTTTTATGGGATAGTTTGACAAACGAGCACACGGATCACCTGATGGCATTCGGTAGACCCATGGCCACTTGTAACACCAATGAAGTTCTAAGTACGTTGCCGGCCTTTTGTTGGTTGTCTTTGCTTTGCCTTTTGAGGTTGGGATAGGGAAAGACTCCGGCAACCTTACTTGCACGGAAAAACACAACGTATGCATTGTTTCACGCCGGTATTCTGGTGGGAAACACTCCGGTCGAGCCGTCCCACGCATAACCGAAACATGACCTGATGGCACATTAACCTGTATTCCTAAGTCAAAATAGGTAGCTAAGTGTCTAGGGTGCTAGCTAGGTGGTAGCTATAGGGTCCGGATCGCGAACGGAACGCGTGCGCGAAAGACCATGAAGTGTTTTTATAGGGCACTCACCAGGCTTGAACCGCTTCTGAATAGAAATGATAGTCAACATATTGAATTCCACGTCGCCACATGGCAAGTGTAAACTTTTTTTGTAAATCGTTGCCCCATACTAGGATTTTCTAATGTATCGTGGGTTTTTTTTTTGTGAGGGGAAAATCATCAAATGACTTCTCCTGCCCAGGGCCGGGCGGGAGGGAGTGTCAGACTCTTACTGACTAAAAATCCCCCTGTTCCTTCTCCTGCTCTGGGCCGAGGTCGCGGTGCCTCATTGCGCTTACCCAAAATGTATCGTGAGTGCGTTTACAAACATACAATTTAACATACAAATGACACCCAGACTCGGCACAACAATTTGTGCTCACTCGACGAACTCATGTGCCGATGAACCGTGCAGTCAATGTCTAAGTCTAAACAAATAATCAATTATTATTTAAAAGATTTATTAAATTTATTTTTGTTCGCAGGTCGACCAGTATCCTGGGCATTATTGGCGCCTTCAGTCACACCCAGAGGCGCTGGTAGCACATCAAATCCAGGATTAAGACTTTACAAGTTCGACTCTAATACCGGAAAGGTAATATTCAATTTATATCTACCCACCAGGTTTTAAGTTGAAAATAGGTAATAATTATTGTTACGAATTTTACGAATGTTGCGTAATATTTAAGGTTATCCCTTGATCAAAGTCAAAATCATTTATTTCAATTAGACTACAGTAGGCACTTTTGAACGTCAAGCAAAAAAAAAGTAAAAAAGTATTTGAAGAGCTTTAAGAACTTTAGCGCGTGTCAGTCTGTCCATCTGTCCTCTAGTGAAGCTATTTGCTCGTTCCAAAGTGTAGATCCCTATGGAGAAGAACGAGCTAGAAACTCCATGGTTACTCTTTTTCAATCAGTTTCAGATCAAAGTTGTTTTTTTTTTATATTTTAGGAGATTCAAACCTTAATCTTCTAGCTAGATTTTAAAAAGTTTTACTTTATCCACTACTCAGTCTATATTTGTTTTCATTCAGGATATATTAATATATACATATATTATGCAAAATGTTATAGAAAATTATTTCTAATCTTAGAAATTAACGATACTTATATTTATATATTTTCTTTTTTGTACAGGTTTTGGATTATACGCAGTATTACTTAGATGTAAATAATATAAGAGGGGAGGCCCACTGGACGATAGAATACAACCTAACTCAATACTATGGACTGAGAGAAATAAGTCCGGTTTCTTTGGACGCATTGGCTGAAAGGATACGGAATCATCATGACCGTGGAGTTTTCGCTAAGTGAGTACCTTTGTTCTAATTTATGACTTCAAGAAAAATTAAAACTTAAAAATTTAGTTCGACAATTACAAGTTAGTTAAAAAATAGAAATAATATGTATTTTTATTGGTCCAGGTACTTAACGGCACTGCGCGTTCGACACGCAGCAGACGTTGCAGAATGTGATTCAGCGTGTGTACACGTCCACTTCTGTGCAATAACCCGCGCAGACTATCACGAGTTTCGTGCGTGCGTCCGTAATCCTGCGTCGGCGCTAGCGTCGCGCGCTGCTCAAAATTCGGCGGCCATCTTACTTTACGCCATTTTAATTTTACTAAAGTCGTAATATTTTGTGACCGCATATAAGCTTCCGTGTTTTTAAAAAGAGCATTTTGTCTAGTAGAATCAGTGTTCAGTTCATTCATACATTATAATACAAAGATTAAACAGTTACATAATAATAGGTACCTACATAAATAATCGTGTTTATTTCTCAAAGATAAAATATAAGTTTGATTAATAATATTTATCACAAAGTTCTAATTAATCACAACAGTCGTTTTCCTAAATCATTTTATTTTCAAAGTGACAAGATTAATTGGAAAACTTAGGTGAGGGTTATCATTTGTTTCACCTGAAAGCATTGTTTCTTGATTATTGTAAAATACATTATCAAACGCTTTAATTTATATAAAAGTAAAAAAAAACGGATTATAAATCATAATTATTGAGTGTAATTAGAAATTGTTTATTGTGATCTTCGTCGCTAATTTGATTGTGATAATTGACATTTTTGTATATAATGATAATGAATCAGTGTAAGTAAATGAAATTAAAAACAATTGAAAGATATATTTTATTGAATTATTTGCTTCAGTCACCAAGTCCTTTGTAGTTTCGC